GAGTGGAGAGCCAGCGAAAAGGCCCCTTTTGTTCCCCCCCCCCCGTGCTCCCCAACGCTTTATTTTTATAAGCGCGCGAGCCCCAGACCGACCGCGTTTACACAAAGATCACAATTGCACATTGTAGCGGCTGTGCACACTGTATTGGTGTTGGCAGCACCCCCCACGCTGGCCCCTGAGCAGGCCGACTCCTTCCAGCAGCCCCATCAGCGCAGGCAATGAGCTCAGCACAGGGGGACAGGGAGGGGGTGGCTTTCAAACAAAAATCACCCAGACCCGCACACACGCCCCGCCCGTCCATGGGAGGAAAAAACACACAACAAAGGCATTGTAAAGAGCAGGCCTGGAGGCCTGGGGCCTCAGACACTGGGCTACTGTGTGCAGGGGCCTGGCCTCTCCCCCTACAGGGGCCAGCCCTTCCAAAAAAAAAAAAAAAAACAGTGGGGGTGGGTGTTGTTGAAGCAAGGTGGTCAGATGAAGGAGAGCCAGACAGACACACACTCCCCATCCTCTTCCAGGAAAGCCAAGAGCAGGGAGAAGCAGATCCCAAGGAGAGGTGGAAGGAAGGTGAGAGGCTAGCTCTTCTGTGTCTGTCTACCCCTGCCCAGTGCCCCCCCACCCAGGGCCACTCCCATGGGAGAGGGGTGGCATGGGCCCTGGGCTTCACCTACCCAGCCACATAGAACACCCCTAGAGATGAGTTGAAATGTGGCTGGACTGGGGCTCCTTAAGGACCACAAACCGCCCTGGAAAGCTCCAGCCACGAACACAGAATGTTCTACCGGACTCTATCATCATGAGAAGCCCCAGGCAGGTGATTCTTTTGCTGGGCCTGGAGCCCTGCATCCAAGCTCTGCTGCTCAGACCTTTCTGGAGCTTCAGGGAGGATACTTCTGCACTCACAATACACTAAACTTTCCTCGTGGGCCTTCCCACCACCTGCCTCAGACCACCGGAATTGGGGACAGAGCAGGTAGCATCATCCCACTTGTCAGAAGATAGTTTGCCTCAGGAAGACTAAGTCACTAGCCCACACTCACACATGGGTAGGACTAGACACTGTGACTCCTAGTCCAGTGCTCCTTCTGCCATGCCATGCTCATAGGAAAAAGACTCTTGAAAGAGAGTGGACTAGATCACTAGCAAGACAATGCAAATGAAAACTATAATACAGCATTTTTTTCCCTATAAAATTAAGAAAAATTGTTTAGAATTATAAAACTCAATGTTGGCAAATATTTGATGAAATAGGTACTCTTCTTTATTGCTGGAAGCAATTCAGCAACCCTTCAGGAAAGCAATTGGGCAGTATGCCTAGAAAAACATAAAACTGTTTATACCCTATTTCCCATATTCCTGGGAATCATCCAAATTAACCAAAAAGTTATATGTACAAAGACGTTCACTCTAGCGTTATTTATAATCCATCATTCATTCAATACACAATTATTGACTGACCAGCACGTGGTAGGTAAGCATGGTGCGAGGAACATGAAGATGAATGAGACACAATCCAGGCTCTAAAGATCGCGACTACTGGTTGGAAGAGGTAACCAAACGACAGCTATGATATAAGGTGATGTGCGAATTAATAGCGGAGTGGATAAGGTGCTAGGGTTGGGAGATGCCTGATGACTCCAAGTCGGTCTTCCCCAAGGAGGTCTCCTACCCTGCGTCTCAAAAATGTGGAAGTAACGAAGGCAGGCCAAAGAAAAGAGGGTGTCTAGGTATCCAGCACAGAAGATCAATGGCAACAAATAGCACAGACACTGTGGAAACAGCAAGGGAGCACCGAGGGCAGTGGGATGGAGGAGGGAGAAGGAGGCGGGCCAATCCCAACCGGTCCTGGATTTATGCTCAGCAATTTGGACTGAGTCCTGTAGATCACTGTTTCCCAAAATGTTTTCTTCGAAATGTGAGTTCTCTGGAGAGCTAATGAGCACTAAACAATCAAACAGGCTCCTCTTTCTACAGCCACGTCAGAGCCGCTCAGTGCCACTGTGCGCTGTAAATCTCTAAGTGTGCAGTGTTTCCCAGTCTCTCTTACTCAGGAACCCTTTTCAAGTGGAGCATTTCACAAGCCTCCAATGTACTTTGGAAAACAGCTCCTTAAGCTCAATGGGAAAATTCCCCCCAACCAGAGCCAGCCTTAACAGAAAGCTGTGCTTCAAAAGAGGGGGTGGGCCCTGACTGGAGTCCAGACATGGGAAATCCAACAGCAAGAACACCCCAGCTCCACCCAGGACAAAGTCTGGATCTGGGGGAACACTAAAGCTCTCATCCCCATAGAGGTGACGTCAGCTGCGGGGCAGCCACGGTTCATCACGGTTCATCCTGGCCTCGCAGCCACACCCTCAGGACCACCTAACTGGCACGGCTTTTACCTCTCAAGACCATAAGGCCAACAAAGAGAGCATAAGACCTTCACTTTCTTGACAGATACATGCCCCTGTAAATTAATAACCTGGCGTCTGGTCTACCCGCCATCTCTCATTCTCTGAGCCAGGTCGAGCTCCCAAAGCCCACCGATGTTTCAGTCTCGCAGAGATGAGTCTCCGGGTCCCTCATGCTAAGGGCCATCCCCTGGAATGTAGTGAGCTCATAAAAGAGCTGCCCAAGGGTTGTCAGTCTTGGTAGCAGCTCCGTAAGCAGAGCTTATGGTTCTCTCACACCACAGCAGCGCTGGTGCCCAGCGGTGGGAGAGCCAAAGCAGAATTCCCTGAGAGGACAATTTGGCAAAGCAGACGCTGCCTCCTGAATTCTGTGTGAGAAGTATCAGTCTACGATGAAGAGCAACTTCAGAGAGTGATGCCGCCCATTAGGTAGGGTGTTGCGGACATGTGATTTCCAAGTCCTCGGAAGTCATATCTTCTCCATTCGAAGTAAATCCAGTGCCTTCTCCAGATGCTCACCAAGCAGTGGCAACCCCAACTCGACACCATTTGAATTAAGTATTATTTGACATTTTTTATGCCCAATTGCTACACAGGCCACAGAGGCACATAATGTGCCACACATGCCCCTCCAGAGGTCCAGAGATCTGTGCTGGCCCTACGCTAAAACCCACCCACGGTGATGTCCTCAGGCAGCCCGGACAGCAACATCTCGACAGGTCTCTCTTTCCTGACTGAGTTTAGTATTATTCAACCAATAGTTTCCTGGGCAATTCCTGCATTTTCCTCTATACCTTCAGCCAGGGAAAAGGAGCAGACATAGCCCCTGTCTCCAGACAGCCCCAAGGCCCACCATACAGGGACAAGCAGAGATCACAGCTGGGGACCTATTGAACCAGTCACCGTGGGAGAAGGCCCAGAACACCACAGCTCAGAGTTAACAGAGCACTTCAGGAAGAAAGCCTTCTCTGCCCCAGACCCCTGCCGGCAGAGAGGACCACGAGACTAGCGACAGACTCTGTGCGAGACCCTCCCCTGGCCCCAGACATTCTGGATTCACACATGAGTTTCCTCTGAGAAATGCCAGCCGGTGGCCATGCACAGCCTCAGGCCGCCAGCCGCCCCAGGGTCAGTTCCAGGGGAGAAATTGCTTTGGTTTAGGGTTTGGGAGTGAAAATAAACACTCTGGGTTTTATAGGTTCACCCGTGTTGGCTGCTGTTTTCCTTTCCAGCAGCTGCTCAATCAGGCCTTTCATTCAGAAGCCAGTGGCCTCTGAGGAAGCCCTGGGCAGTGCCCTCAACGCTCAAGGGATGTTTATTTGGGGGAGGGGGTGGGGCCAGAATGGAAAGTGTGACGTCTCTGCAGGCCAGCACCAGGCTGGAGCAGGCTGCAGTCCCCAGAGATGCACACTGACTCCTAGCGTGGTTCCTTGGAGGAGTTCCCTCCCTGCAGGGTCGACTGCCAGCCGGTCCCACAGAGAACCAGGGGCCTTCCACCTGGGCCCCACCTCGCCACCCGCACTACTCCCCATCCTCCCCCAAAGGAAGAGGAAACAAGGTTGTGAATTAGTCCACTTCGTTTTTTCTCAGGGTACATTCTAAGTGTCAGAAAGCCTGCTGGCAGTTTCCCAGGAAGCTGCAGCTGCAGGTAGCTGCCCGTGACCTGCCAATCCGTGAGTGAGGGTTTTGCATATGCTCTGCAGAGGGCACTCTCAGAACCCTGGACCCACGACACAAAGAAACTGCTCCATCCACCTTGTGCCTGGCTGCAGGGCTGGAGAACAGGCCCCTGAGGAGAGAGGAATGCAAGAAAGCACAGCCGCTGGGGGGAGGAGGCACCAGAGTGGCCTCCGTGTGGGGAGGGGAGGGGGCTGGGAAGGAGGACAGGCGGATGGCTATAAGCTACAGCCACATCCTGTGAACAGAAGGTCATTTTCATAGACGAGCTCAGTTCTACTCGAGGATTTGGAGGGTGGTTTGTCACTCGTCAGCTATTTTAACTCAAGCAATTGAGTTAAGCTCTCTGAGTCTTGGTTTCTTTATCTGTAAAATGGGGATGTTAAATAACTCATAGAAGAGTTGCAAGGGTTACATGGAATAATAGTAAAGCTCCTGGGCTCATGGTGAGCACTCAGTAAGTGTTAGTCCTTTAGATGTCAAGTGCTGCAGGTTCAAGAGTAAGACATGGCCTCTTCTATGAGGAGCTCGCAGTCATAGTGTGAAGCGTGTGGCAGAGACAGACGGCAATCGATCTAGGCAGTGGGTCAGGTGCTGAGAAAGAAACAACCAGCTCGGCTTGGGGAAGAGTCAGAGAGCTTCTGGGCCGGGACTTGAAGGATGAGTAGGAGTTTGCTGGGCTAAAAATAGGAAAGGAATGCATTCTAGGCAGAGAGAACACTGAGTACGAAGGCCAGGAATATGAAAGAGCACTACAAATTTTGATAAAAGGTGGTGGGGCCAGAGCTAGTGGATGAAGGGGAATCAGGGAAGGAAACTGGCACAGTCCATGGGGTTCAAATCACAAAGGAGCTAGTTGTCTGCGAAGCCAAGGAGTTGGGGATTTATCTATCAGTGTCTATATATGAAATCAGGGGAGTGACATGACCAGATCTATCTGGGGCAGTGAGGAAGGCAGCAGGGAGGCCCTGAGATGACCAGAGTATCCAGATATGAAGGGGCAAGGCCAGTTCTCAGGGACATCTCCAAGAGAGATTCAGGAGCCAGAATCAACAAGAGAGGGTGACTGACGGTTTCCAACATGATAGGTAATAGGCATGCTGACGTGACACCAGGACCAAGATAGGAAATGCAAAGTAGGCCTGGATGGTGTGTTTGGGTGTATCACAAGGAGTTCAGTTTGGACAGAAAGAACTGAGGTACCTCTGAGGCATCCAGGGGGAGATACCTAAGATGTGGCTGAACATAAGGGGCTCCTAGGAACTAAGGACTAGAGCTTCCTAACACCAGTGCCCGAAGAAGTGAACACGGACAGACTCTTGGGAACATCAGGCTTAGGGGGCAGCGAAGCACCTGAGTAGGAGCAGGTATAGCAGTAGGAGGCTGCAGGAGGCCCAGGAGAGAGGGGGCCAAGGCCAGACAGGCTTTCAGAAGGAAGTGATGGTCAGCAAAGCCAAACCCTGCAGAGGGGTCAAGCAAGTCACCTGACAATTAAGAAGCCACAGTGACCCTGGCAACAACAGCCATCTTCACAAACCTAGCAAACACTGCCCCCAACCTGCAGGAGAAGCCATGTGCTGTGTTTCCTGTGGTCCAAAGGCCCAATGGCTCAGTTCCGAGCTCTCAGTCCCTGGTCCCTGGCTCTCCTACTTTCTCCCACCTACCAGAAAAAGAGTCCTTGTCCATTGCAGGCAGGTCCCGGGCCTGGTACATGTAGCAGCGTAGGTGGTAGCGGTTCCCATCTGCACCAAGGAAGAAACAGAGATGGCAGGTGAGGGGCTTGGGGTAGCGAAGAGCTGAAATAGAGGAGAAGGTGGAGTCTGTGCCTTAAAAAAGTAGCAGACAGAGGAGATAAACAATAGAAGTGACAAGTCACACTCTGTAGGAGTGAGCCACTAACAGGTCAGAACAGACTACAGCTCAAAGGTGGACACGAGAGTGATGTGTCCTTAGGCCTGGGAAGTGTTGGGGAGAGGGGCAGAGGAGGAGAAAGAGAAGCCAAATAGATGATGGGGGACGCCAGAATGTACAAGGCCTTAAATGCCCGATTTGAAGCTTAGAGTTGACACATACACACCATGTATAGACGGGCTTATGTGTGCATGCACATGCGTGCGCACGTGTACACACACACACACACACACACACACACACACACACCCCAAAAGAGACTGACTTACCAAAAAGCACACAGACTCAGTTCTCCACAGCCCCACATATATACTTGACCATATAACCCCATTCAGACAGAAGAATAAGGTCTGTATCACCCTACAGATACCTCCAAGCATCACTTACAGTCAAAGATGCAGGAAATCGTGGGTCTGTTCACCCCAAAGCTCAAGGTAGAGATGGACGTGGAATCTTCACTCCTGTCATCCACCACGCCGCCCTGGAGACACAAAGCTGGTCAGAGCAGATTCTGACCCCGAGCCTGGGAGTGGCTAGGTGACTGGCCCAGAGAGTCGGGTCCCTGGGTTAGGAGACCTCTAGACAATGCTCATTGGCTGCCAAGAGCTGGGCCATCAGCCTCGAATTTCACTATAGGGTGTTAAGTACATCCTCTCCTACAGTCCACAGACTCCAATACCAAGTCCACAGGGAAATTCTTCTCCGTCTCTAGTGCAGACCAGACAAGGCAGAATGGAAGTTTGAATTCTTTCAGCTCAAGAGGTTGGAGTTTGATAGAAGGAAGGATTTTGAGAGGCTCTCAGGGGAAGATCCAGTGGTGATCTGCTCACTGGAATGAGTTAAGAGGAGCTTAAGTCTGGAGGGCCCGGTCTAGCATCTCTGTCCACCTCTGTATGTCATGGGGACAGTGCTAGTGCCAGGGATACATAGGCACTGAGCTGGGTCCCCAGGCTCAGGCTGAAGCCAGGGTCAGGGACAGGAGCAGGAGATGGGGTAAGTCTACATTCAGGCTCAGAAGTCAGTCTGCCAGTTTACTGTGCAGAAAGCTAAAGAGTCCCTCCCCTCCCTTGTCTTCATTACCACTGGGCTCTAACCACTGGGCCATAAACCACCTTCCCTGGACAAGATGCCCACCTCCCTGGTTCACTGATCCCTCCTTGCCACCTCTGCCATCACTGAGGTCCTGTGTGATTTGGAGGGTTTGGTGACCCAGGAGCACCCCAGGCCAGCCTTCCAGACTTGGATTCCAATGACGTCAGGCCCACCAGCCTCCCGCAGCCAGGGGCCCAGTAGGAGGGCTGAGGAGAGCTGGACAGCCCTCCTATGCTGCCTGCTACCTCTGCTGTCACTCAGATTTCTCCAAGTCCCTCTCCCCTCTCCCCACACTGTCACCTACCCCATTCCCTTGCCCAGTCCCTCTTCCTAACACACAAGCACACACATCCTTGAAAGAAAACTCTTGCCTCCCCTTGGATGGCCTGTTCATCCCACCCAGGCCCTCCCAAAATAGCCACTTCCCAAGGCCCACTGCTAAGTGCCCAGAGGCCACCTGGCTGCAGCCATTTCCTAGGAATCTTGACCTCTCCCAAGGCCCTACAGCTACACAGTCCCCCAGTGCCTCCAAATACAAAGCACACAACTACTTCTGTGGGCTAACTCCCAAATCACACCCACCCTCAGGACCTAGCTCCAGACCCCTTGTCCTAGAAGCCTCTCTGGATGCTGGTCCTCCCACTTCTGATCTACCCACACCCAAAGCCAGAACCAGCAGCATCACCCTCAGTCACCATCTGGCTCCCTGGCCTACACCCTTTGGTGACTCTCACTGCCTAGTCGGACCCTCGATGACCTGGGCTTGCTTCCCTCAAACCCAGCCCTCCGCTTCAGGCAGGCCACGCTCCTCAAAGCTGGCCCAGACTCACATCACAAGCTCATGCCATTCCCTAGCCAGAAGTACCACCGACCATCCCAGTCCTGCCCTTGTCACGCTGGGTCAACAAAGAAATGCATCCTAAAGGTAGGCCGGTCTTCCTCTGCTCCATCCCTTCAAAAGGGCCCATAAAACACACATGCAGGAAAGACATGTTCACCTGCTCTCCCGGAGGACTCACCAAAATTCTGCTACAATGGGGCGGGCTGTGAGTCCCATCACAGGACACCCCCTTCTCTGACAGGGAGACACAATGACCTCCTTCCTTTGGCCACAACTTCAACACGAGCTCTAAACCAGATTACTTGGTTTCCAATTCTGGCTCTGCCATTTACTAGCTGTGTGACTTTGGGCAGATTGCTTAACCTCTCTGAACCAGTCTCTGTAAATTTGGGAAAATTCTATAGTATCATCAGAGAGTTGTCGTGATTATTATGAGATAAATTATATGTTGTTCCTAGCACACCACCTGGCACATTATAAATGCTCAATAAAAGTTTGTTATTAATGATCTTATGAGAGAAATAAAGTACATGCGGGACAGGAGAGGGTAAGTCATAAACTATGAAGTTAGCAATTGCACTCAGAGGTGGTATTCATATATCCCATCTTTGTTCAAAATTATTCCAGGAGCTGGAAAAGTGGACATTTCAGGAGACACAGCCTTGGGCAGAAATCAAAATCAATCAGTCGAGCAATCAGTCTCTTTCCATATTCACACACATGAGCAGGATGAAAGGGAGGGATGTCATCCTGCAGACAGGGAAGGCTACTACAGACAAACCCAAAGGCCACCATGCCTGAATCCTCCCTCCCAGGCAAGGGTGGACCCCAGGCGTCCTGGGTTCCCACCAGGAGAGGCATTTGGCATGGCCACACTACATTGGCATCCCGCCAGAGCATGCGCCAAGTCCAGCAGCTAATGGCTCCCAGTTTCAGAGTCTGCAAGGCTGCACATAGGGCTGGACCTGGGGGGCCCAGCAGGCCACCCCAGGCGTGAGGTGCAGGCACGCCAAGGAAAGCAGATCAGGACGCTGGAAATGGCTCGGCCAGCCCAGGTGCAACAACGCGTAGCAAATGCAGCTCAGTGCACTTTATGGGAGGCGGGTGAAGGGGTTTCAGCTGGGGTGGGGTGGAAGGACTCCACAGCCCCTTCGCCTCAGCCTGGCAACACACATGCACCCCCGTAAGTAGGGTGCTGAGGCAAGTGCAAGGATCAAGCCCGCCTCTGCCTCCCACATGCCCTAGAATTCCTTCTCTCCGACCGACCGGGTGCCTACAGGGACCTCCCTGCTTGCGGATCACTGCCAGTGCACATCCCCACTCACCTCACACCTCCTCTAGATGGCCTCCTCAAGCCGCCGCCCGTCAGCACCACTCCCACCAAAGGCCTCTGTCTGGGGCTTTGGCAGCACTTTCTGGGTATCTGTCCAAGGGCAGGGCTGCTGCCTGCGATTAGAAAAGGTGTCCCCCTCCTTGGGATTTCCAGAAAGGCCAAGGCCAGGTATCTCAAGCCTAGCTCTGTGCCTGGCCCAGAGCAGGCTCTGGCACTGAGAATGACCATCCTTCGGAGGGAGGAACCAGTGTTGCCTCCGGGAATGCTCCTCACACTGCCCAGGCTCCTCCATATGTCCCGCCTCCAGAGGACAGCCTCCATCAGCCCCCTTCCCCTCCAGTCCACCACTCTGCCACCTCCACCCCCATCTGTCGCCCAGGTGGGTACC